AGTAAGATTGTTAGTAAAAGTTTAAATAGATGTAGTATTACTCCATAAATTTTAGATTTTAGAACTTAAATGTATAATCCATTTTCTATTTATAACTCTGGTGATTATATTTGAAAATTTGAAAATATTTTTATGTAAGTGACATGACTTACATATGATAAGGGTAATAGTATAGTAGACACTTTCAAAAGGGTGTGTAAATACAAGTTACGTTATCTGTTAGTTTGATTATCACAAATGATATAACTCAGTATTGTAAGAGTCATAACTAAAAAAAATTGAGTTATAACCAAATATTATATGAGGTATAACTAAAAAAGACTTGAATCATAACTAAAATAATATAATAATCAACATTACAATGTGTCATAACTAATAACACAATAGATCATAACAAAATACTGATCATAACCAATTGTGCATATGATACACGCCCAAAAAAGAGTGTGTACCATAAAATTTCCTTACCTACTATTACTAATACTAAACTTTTAAGACCTTAAAGATCTCATTTACTTTCCTTTATATTGAAAGATAATGATTTGAGTCCAATTAAAATGGGTAATGCTAAACTTTTAAGACCATAAAGATCTCATTTTTCCTTAAATAAGTATTGAAAGATAATGATTTGAGTCTAATTAAAATGGGTAATGCTATGCAAGTTATAATATTTGTGGGATTGATTATTACAAATATCATAACTTAATTCTACAAGAGTCATAATAAAAAAATAAAATAAAATTATAACTAAACACCATTTGATATAGTCAAAGAACTCTTGAATTATAATCAAAATAATGTGATAATTAATATTATAATAATTTATAATTAACATTATAATAGGTCAATAATTAGATATCATAAAAATCATCATTGGGAGTGGTAGTACACAACCCAAATAGAATTTCTCAATTAAAATATGTTGACTTGAAAGTCCAGCAATCAATAACATTCCAACATGTGTATTTTTATGTTTAAAAAATTCAAAATTATTAGAAATAAAGATTGAGCTTTGAACATGGTTTAACATTTTTACTTATATAGATGAGAAGCACAATCAATAACCTATAAACTACGTAAACTATTGCAAAAGTCTTAGCACACAACAAAGAGCAAAGTCCTAGCATCTCTCTTTTTTTAAAATCGTATGTGTTTAATCATGGTTGATTTTTTTGGTAGCTTTTGTGAGAAGATTTGTGATTTTCCTAGAATGGCAGCTGTATTTTGGGTAGCTTTTAATTTGTGTAGGCTGTTTTATTTGGCCTTTTGGGATTTTGTCTTTTTTTTTTCTTGATTTATATGATATTTACTTCTATTTTACGCCTCCGTTTGGGAAGTGAGTTGGTTTTTTAACTTTTTGATTTTTTTGCATATTTTAACCTGGGGTTAAAACGCCTAGTTTAGAAAGGGCTTTTGATTTTTTTGGCTTATTAAACTTTTTTGTGAGAGAAAGAATGTAATGATTATGAGTTAGATGTGATGTTTTGTTTTATTGGACAAAAAAACTTATTTTGTTTTTTGTGACTATTTTGGCCAAAATAGCCTTCAAACCAACTTCCCAAACGGAAACTTAATAATATAAGGGTTATTTACATGGAGGCTCCCTAAATTATTAAGAAATATCAATTTGACCTCTAAGTTATAAAATTATTACACTTTAAAGTGATACTTTTCAATAGTTTAGGGGTCTATTTGTATGTCATTATAATTTAGGAGACAAAGTGATACTTCTTAATAATTTAGAAAGTGCATTTATACACTTTTATAATTTAGAGGGTCAAAATTATACTTCTCAATAGTTTAAGAAGCCCTTGTGTAAACAACTCTTAATATAACAGCATTATAACTTTTTCTCAAAATTAACTTTCTCAAAAAAGAAAAGAAAAGAAAAAGAAAAAGAAAAAAAGTGAAATGAATACAATTTACTCAACCTTGAATACAATAGGTGGAAAAGATTTTTCTCAAAATTAACTTTCTCAAAAAAAAAATAAAAAAAAATAAAAAAAGAAAAAGAAAAAAAGTGAAATGAATACAATTTACTCAACCTTGAATATAATTGGTGGAAAAGATATATAAAAGAATACAAATTTGGCTAAACATCGCCCGTTGACCCATCAATATTAATGGGATTGGCTTGAGATTTATACTTTCAATCTGATCAGGCCTGACTCGGTTTCTTATTAAATTAATTAATTATAATATATTAAAAATATTTTTTTTTTTGTTGAGGTCTAGACTTTTATCTTTGTTAATTTTATTGAAACCATTGAAACTTACATTTGTGGTAATATGAGATTGAATTTATTTATTTATTTCTTAATTTATACACAAAATCTTTCAACTTATAATCATATCAATATATTTATTTAAAAATATAATGTGATTGGATTTAATTATGAAATGATTTAATTTTTTTTAACATCTAGCCCAATGAGTAGATTTGAAATTTATAATTATTTTTTAGACCGAACTTGGACGCATATAGAGGTCCAATGTTAAGGCCAGACCTAGTTTGAGCAGACACAAAATCCCTTATTACGTAATGCCAACCTGACCCGACGTTTGTCTACCCCTAATTTGTCTTACATATTCTTGTTATATAACTGTTGTCCGACAAGATATCTTATCGGATGACTTGACAAAAAATTTAATCATTCTTAAAAATAAATAATAAAATATTATATAACTCATGAACAATATCTCATATAATATAACCTAAAAACAATATATCTCATAAAATGAAGCAAGATACTTTAATAATGATAAATTTTGTTTTGCGATAACTAACCTCATAGAGAGGTGTTTTGAAAAAATGATTAAAAGTTAATTTTTAACTTTTTTTAAATTTTTTTACGAAAGAGGAAAGTAGTGACTTTTAACCCACTTTCCAAAATAACCCAAAGGACTAATTTAGAACATTAACTTGCTAATATAATCCCAAAATCATAATCTTAGCAAGAGTGTAATTATGTTCCTCTTGTGTTTTTCGAAGAGTGTAATTTATCTTCAATGTAAAAAGGATACTAGGCAACACAAAAAGAATAGATTAAAAAAAAAATACTATCATACTCACCATTAAAAAACACATATCATATACATCATTAATTATATTATTATTTTTTTAATTATGATCATTTTATAAATTGGATAAATTACATTGATACCTCATGAGATTTATGTTTATTACAGTTCCTCCTTCACTTTTTAAAAATTATATCTCCCTTCCTGAGATTTAAAGTTTTATTACAGATTCCCCTCAGTAATTTAATTTTTTTAAATATCAATTTTGTCCTCATTGGGTAAATTACATTGACATCCCTCACATTTTAAAAATTAGGCAAATTACACAAATAATCCCTATAGTTTGGAGCTTGTGTCACTTTGATCCTTGACTTTTCAATTGTGACACATTTGACCCTGAATTTTGAATCTTGTACCAAATAAAAACAATTAAAGATATCATTAGATTTTTCAAGGGTAAAATTGTCAATTTGATAAAATATAAACTAATTTGACAAAAATAAATGTCAAACAAATATTTTTGAATTTTTAAAAATTATTCTTACCCACTAAAAATAAAATTATATAAAATTGATAAATCTTTTAAATATTTATTTATTTTTTTACCAAATTAATTTTTATTATGTGTTTAAATGATGATCATGTAAAATTAATTTTAAAAAATTAATCATGTAATTTTTATTAATTTTACATAATTTTATCATTGGTGGATAAAAATAATTTTTAAAAAATTAAAAATATTTTTTTGACATTTATTTTTGTCAAATTAGTTTATATTTTATTAAATTGACCATTTTAGTCTTGAAAAATCTAATGATATTTTCAATTATCTTTATTTGGAACAATGTTCAAAATTCAGGGTTAAATGTGTCATAATTAAAAAATCAGAGACCAAAGTGACACAAGTCCCAAACTATAGGAATTGTTAGTGTAATTAACCCTTAAAAATTACAATCCCAAGGTTTTAAATAACATTACCATTTGGCTCTCAATTAGTATTAGTTGGAAAAAAAATTAATTGAAAAAAAATCTTGCTAGTCAAATTTTTAAATTTTTATTTAAAAACAGACGTAAATTGTGGAGGGTATCAATTTGATTTATCTAATGAGGGCAAAATTAGTATTAAAAAATATTAAATTGCTTAAGGGAAAAATTTATAATAAAATTTTAAATCTCAGGAGAAGATGTAATTTTTAAAATGTCAAGGGAGAACTGTAATAAATATAGGCAATGGCTTTGGTCCAGTCCAAGATCGAACTGAACCGTGCTTTTGGGCCCGTGAGGGCCCACCACAGATCCCCTACGAGCCCATCACGGATCTCGTTTTGATAATCCAAACCGTTCAATGTGTAAAACTCGTCGAGTACTATATGCCTGTAAAAAATCACGGTAATCAGATATCAATAGCTATGTGAACAAAATAGTTTTTTATTAACCGTTAATTTTTTCACCGTCCATTTTTTTTTATACAAAACTGATTTGATCACATATCTATTGATATCCGATCAACGTAATTTTTTACAAGCATATAGAGTTTTACACATTGAACAGTTCAGATTATCAAAACGGATCCAAAAAATAGGTCCTATGGGCCGAACTGGACGAGTCCAGTCTTGATCTCAATCTGAGACAAGCTAGACCCTAAATATAAACCCCAAGAAGATGTCAATCTAATTTACCTTGATAAATTATAATATTATTTTAATTATAAATTCTTTAATTAGTTATATATTTAGTTATCATATTTATTTTTTTTTAATTATGATTCAATAAAGAAAATTATAAGGCACGAGGTATCCCACAAAAATTATAAAAAAAAAATACACAAGAATTTTGAAATCTAATTTGTTGTTTGAAACAATCTAAACAATTATATTTTTTTTTGTCCTTTTACAAAAAAATATGTAAAAAAATAAAAAAATAATACGATAACAAAAAGATAAAAAAATAAATTATTTAGAAGATGCCAAACTACTTACTTAATTAGTTCAACGAAACTTCATCTTCATTCGTATCCGAAACAAAAATACTACCCGCATACAAGGGCCCTTGGGAAGTTGCCAAAAAAAACCGGCCTTTTTACCCAAAACACCACACACTAAAAAAAATTAAAAAGTCTACTGTTTACCAACTTTTCAAAAACCCAGGGTCAAAAAGACACACAAAAAAGAGAAAATCACAATCCAAGCACCATAAAAGCCCATGAATAGAAATCCTAGAGCCAACAGCTGGCTTTTTCCCTCCTTGCCGAAGGACTTCAAAATCTAAACCCTAAAAAGCCCATCAATAGTAATCCTAGCCGTGGCCCAGGTTACGTCAGAACCACCGCCTCCCCTCGAGTAGTGGCCACCACTGCCCTCACTGTATCCACGGTCAGGCCCTCCGCCGTAGCCACCTCCATCACGTCCTGCGCCGCCTCTGTAGCCACCGCGGCCTCGGTTGTAGCCACCTCCATGGCTGCGGAGCCCGACGCCACCGCCGCCACCGCTTCCGCGGGTCTTGGCCTCACTGACTGTAATGTTACGACCGGTAAGATACTGGCCGTGCATCCCCTCGATTGCATCCCTCATCGCCTGCTCATCCTTGAATTTCACAAATCCGAACCCCCTCGATTTCCCAGTTTCGCGATTTTTGATGATCTAAAAACCAAATCAAACATAAATCGATCAAATCTACAAAGATCAATAACATATAAACAAACAAACAAAATCAAAGTATATATACAAAACTAGAACTGAAACTCAAAATCGATCGATTTCGAGAAAAGAAGGCGATCAATAAAAGTAACATATAGAGAGAGAGTTAACAGAGAGAACGGACCTTCGATTCGACAATTACTCCATATTCAGAGAAGGCCTGCACAAGGTCTTGATCATCGGTGGTGCCAGCGAGCCCGCCAACGAAGACCTCGTGTCCAATCACAGAATCCGTGGATGAGACAGACATAGAGATATTTTCGGCGATATCACAGAGGCTTTTCCCAATATAAGCCATTTTTCCATTGTATTTCCAAAACTAGGCCAACTTCTGACAGAATTCCAAAACTAAGTTAAAGCGCCATTACTATTCGCGCTTTTACTGTTAGGAGCGCAAAAGTAGATGAACAGGAAAATCGCTATTACAAATAGCGACTTTGATTAAGAATTCGCTATTACAAATAGCGCTTCTAGCGTTAGTTTTTGTCCGGATAAAAATGCTTTTCTTAACAGCGCTTTTTACCCAAAAACGCTATTTCTAATAGCGATTTTAACAAAAAAAAAATCCCAGAAAAAACGCTATCTCTAATAGCGATTTCAGTTCAAATTTTGTTGCCAAAAAAACGCTATTTCTAATAGCGATTTCAGTTAAATGAAAACGCTTTTTCGATCAGCGTTTTTAAAGTCCTCATATATACCAACGAACCCCCCCCCCTCATTTGCATACGTTTTTCAAATTTTAAACACATTTTTTGTGTTTTCATTTTTTGGCCAAATTTATAAACTGAGACCACTGATTTATAAATCAAAAATTTTACCAAACAAGTTTTTATTTGAGTTTTTAAAATTTTTGTAAATATAAACAGAAAACTGAAAACGTAACTGTTACCAAACAGCACCTTAGAAGATATCAAACTACCCCTACTTCATTAGTTCAACGAAACTTCATCTTCATTCGTATCCGAAACAAAAATACTACCCGCATACAAGGGCCCTTGGGAAGTTGCCAAAAAAAACCGGCCTTTTTACCCAAAACACCACACACTAAAAAAAAATTAAAAAGTCCACTGTTTACCAACTTTTCAAAAACCCGAGGTCAAAAACACACACAAAAAAGAGAAAATCACAATCCAAGCACCATAAAAGCCCAAAAATAGTAATCCTAGCCCAAGAAGCGTAAAAAGCCAACAGCTGGCTTTTTCCCTCCTTGCCGAAGGACCTCAAAATCTAAACCCTAAAAAGCCCATCAATAGTAATCCTAGCCGTAGCCCAGGTTACGTCAGAACCACCGCCTCCCCTCGAGTAGTGGCCACCACTGCCCTCACTGTATCCACGGTCAGGCCCTCCGCCGTAGCCACCTCCATCACGTCCTGCGCCGCCTCCGCCGCCTCTGTAGCCACCGCGGCCTCGGTTTGAGCCACCTCCATGGCTGCGGAGCCCGACGCCGCCACCGCTTCCGCGGGTCTTGGCCTCACTGACTGTAATGTTACGACCGGCAAGATGCTGGCCGTGCATCCCCTCGATTGCATCCCTCATCGCCTGCTCATCCTTGAATTTCACAAATCCGAACCCCTTCGATTTCCCAGTTTCGCGATTTTTGATGATCTAAAAAACAAATCAAACATAAATCGATCAAATCTACAAAGATCAATAACATATAAACAAACAAACAAACAAAATCAAAGTATATATACAAAACTAGAACTGAAACTCAAAATCGATCGATCGATCTTTCGAGAAAAGAAGGCGATCAATAAAAGTAACATATAGAGAGAGAGTTAACAGAGAGAACGGACCCTCGATTCGACAATTACTCCATATTCAGAGAAGGCCTGCACAAGGTCATGATCATCGGTGGTGCCAGCGAGCCCGCCAACGAAGACCTCGTGTCCAATCACAGAATCCGCGGATGAGACAGACATAGAGATATTTTTGGCGATATCACAACCCTAAACGAAGAGACCCCACCTCTGTCAGATCAACGAGAAACGAAGCCCGCCCCAAAGCTGGCTTATATAAGCGCGCGTGCGGAGTTAACTAGGGTTAAGGCCATCTGTGTTAAAATTGTGTGTTAAAGTATATGTTATATGATAAAAAGTGTTCAAATGAAACTCAAAAATATGTGTTAAGAGTTTGTTAATTTATTGAGTGAATAGTGAATGAATGGTGATACAATAGATGTATTAAGGTGTGTGTTAAATATATATATATATATATATATATGTATGTATATGTATATAATAAATAAAATAAATAACCCCCACCCCCGCCCCCAACGGGGATCGGGTTTCCCCGACCCCGAGCATTAAAAAAAAAAAAAAAAAAAAAAAAATCAAGATGCTAGGAAACAGAAGGGAATACTAGATATGAAAAAGAAAAATTAAAGGATGAATTTGAGATTCATTCATTAGATGAACGCATAGGGATGAACTAAAGAGAAATTGAAAAATTAGAGATTTCCTTTTTCTATCAATAAATATAATGAATTTCCTAGCAGTAATTAGCTAAAATCATGATGTATGTAAATAACACTGAAACTGTAAAGCAGAAGACCTTTTGTGATGCAAACCAAGAAAGGTTCACTACCTTAACTAGCACTTCGTATTCTTTCAGTCTATAAAATTTATCAAATTTCATCCTTCCATACGCCACAGCTTCCTCAACCCTTCCAGCCTGCAGATGAAATATGGATAAATCAAACTCTTATAATTGTTCCAAGCCTCTTCTTTCTTTTCTTTTCTTTTTTTAATATTTGTATTTGTTATAAAATTATTCAATAGACATAGAGGCATGCCTCTTCATATTTATTGTCAATTCCTTCAAAAGAAAAGCAATAACCTTCAATACACAAAACTATTTAACTAGAAATTCTGCATATATTGCCACTGGAAAGCAAAATAAAACAGGAAAGAACCATTTACCCGAACCAATTCAATAAATTTTTGACAATGAAGCAGAAAGCAGGTAGCCAATGCATCATCCTGCATACAGAAAATCTAATCATCAAAGCTGGGACACTATGAGCACAGATCTTATACTCTAGTTTGTTGCATTTTAGGTAGATGGAGTATGAGTCATGGTGGGATCCATAATAAACAATCATTGTCGTACCAGGTAACAAACTTATTGTTGCTTTCTGATAGTACACATTACATGGAAAATGAAGTAGACATCATATACAGTGAATTTGACTGTTTTGCTCAACAGGAATCAAGTTAGAGCAAATTCAAAGCATTAGAGAGTATAAAGCAAAATAAAGTGGTTGAATTTTCTATCACCACAAAATAATAACCTGGTCTAGATGCGCAAATATAATAAGCAGCTGAAATATCAACCTAGCCAAGACATAATGAGAATAATGTGACGATGGAGGAGCAGTTTTCCTAGTAAATTAGCAACAAAGCCATGAAATGATGGAGAAGATATTAAAAGAAGGGGAGTCTAGGTGGTCGTTTTACATAGCAGTTTTGCCACTATATCAGCATTGTTATTGACATAAATAACTACTAAGCGACACCTTTTTCTATCAGTGCAACAAGTTCTTAATCTAAGATCAGAAGAGATAGCGTTTTTGCCTCTGGATTTAAAGGAAAAAGGTAGTTGAAATAGTTAAAATTCCACCCCCCCCCCCCCCTCGATTTATCTTTTAACCTTTCACTTTTTTCTATAATCAATTAATGCAATTAAAAATATGTATTGTAATTAAAGTAGCATAAAATATAGTCAACGCATTTTCACGTATCATATCACATGAATACATTTAAAAAATATATATGCGTGTGAAGAAAACAAATACACAACATACCTCTTTCATGATCTATTGTGCATATACAATACAATCCTACAAAGCATGCACACGAGACATGGTAATTTCAAAAAAATGGGGACATAGACAATGCCCACAACAATAAAAAAATATATATATTTTTATTCACTACATAGATTAATATTGCATCCACAAACAATTAAAATTAACTAAAACTAACACTAACTCAATATATAGAAACCACTTTTAAATTAAGTCGTCAAAGATAACCAGGCTGGATTTGTGTGTGAGCTGGCCAAACTGTGAATATTTGAATTTGTATTAGTCTTATCCCTGATTTATAGGAATTGTATTCTAGGAATCTCATTCCTAATTTGCAGGGATTAGCTAGCTATAATTTGTATATATAGTCTTTCCATGTATATTTCTAAGAAATGAATATTATTCCCATTGTTGATCATGGTATCAGAGCCTCTTATGCTCTCTGAGAACTAAAACTTTCTGTGGTCTGCATTGCCATCCTTCGTTGTTCCTTCAACCTTTCATTCTTAGGCCTTCATTGCCAATTGTAGAACCTCTTTGCCCAAAAATTCTTCTTTTTCATTCCATTTTTTTCCTTCAATATCATCATGTCTAAAGTAACTTAAACTTCGAACCCATCTGAAATTGGGACAAACAAGACTCCTAGCATGGTTTCAATGGAAGACTTGCAGAATATTCAACCAAGTTACTGGTTGAATGGGAACAAACTACCTTAAGTGGTCTCAATTTGTTCGAACCTTTCTTAAAGGGAAGGGCAAATTGAGTCATCTTCTCGGAACAGGACCAAAACCCGAAAATCCGAAGTTTGATGCCTGGGATGAAGCTGATTCCATGGTAATGTCGTGGCTATGGAACTCGATGATACCTTAAATGAGTGATACGTGCATGTTTTTGGAAACAGCAAAGGACATCTGGGACACATGCAAACAAATTTATTCGAAGGTTCGTGATGCTGCACAAGTCTATGATATCAAGACCAAAATTTAAACTACTAAAAAGGGTAACCGTTCTATTACTGAATACTCTAATATCTTGCAAAACTTATGGCAAGAGTTGGATCATTATCAATGTATTGAGATGAAGTGCAGTGAAGACTCTACCATTCTTAAGAGGTTTATGGAGAAGGAAAGAATTTACATTTTCCTTGTTGGATTGAATGTTGAGTTTGATGATGTTAGAATTCAAGTTCTTGGAAAAGAAGAGTTTCCATCATTGAATGAGACTATTAGAATAATCTGAGGAAAAGAAAGTCGCAGAGGAGTTATGTTAGAGCTTCAATCTGTGAAAGATTCTGCCATGGTTGTTAGGGGTGTTAATGCAAGGAATAGGGGAGCAGATCATCCATCGAGCTCTTACTCTGATGAATTGACAACTGAAAATGGAAACAAGGATTTGATTGTGTGTACTTTCTGCAAAAAGCCGAGACACACCAAAGAAAAATGCTGGAAACTTCATGGCAAGTCTGCAAATTTTCAAAATCCTCAAACAACCAATAGAAATTGGACAGTAAAGAGTGGACCAGCACGAGGACAAGGACAAGCACAAGCACATACGGTACAACCAATAGGCGAAATAGATTCTGTCCACAATCGAGCAGAGTTCAACATGGACGAGATTGAAAAACTAAAAAATTTACTAGGCACTCTAGAAAAAACTACGGGCTTAGGTACTTGTTCCTTAGTTTATCTAGGTAATGCCTATCAATCCTTTACTTTAAATGTCTCGAATATGCCCATAACAGATTCATGGTAGTTGATTCTGGGGCCACAGATCATATGACTAAGTCTTCTCATGAATTTGTCTCTTACAATCCTTGTCCTAGCAATAAAAAGATATCTACTGCAGATGGTACTTTGATTACTGTTGCTGGTCAGGGAGATATTGTTATCAATTCGAAAATTGTTTTAAAGAATGTTTTACATGTGCCAAAATTATCCGTAAACCTTCTCTCAATTCATAAACTTGCAAAGGATTTGAATTGTACCATGACCAGTCAGGACCATTGTGAATAATCCATAAACCTTGTCTCTGTAAACCTTCTCTTCTACACATTGTGAATTTCAGGACCAGTCAGGACCAGGGCATGGGGAAGATGATTGGACTTGCTAGAAAGAAACATGGACTCTACTATCTTGAAGAATTCAGTGCATAAAACGACACTATGAATAATTTTCCTATCTCATTTCTTTCTGAGTCATCTCTTTCAAATAAAAACAAAATCTAGTTGTATCATCTTTGTTTTGGTCATCCCTCTTTCAGTGTTCTTAAAATTATGTTTTCCACATTTGTTTAACGGGATTGATATGGGTATATTTCATTGTGTTGTTTGTGAGCTTGCAAAACACAAGCATACTTCTTTTCCAGTAAATAATACAAGACTGCCCATTCCGTTTGCTCTTATCCATAGTGATGTCTGGGGACCTCCTATGGGTTCAAATGTTTCTAGGGCTCGCTAGTTTGTGTTGTTTATTGATGATTGCACTCATGTGTCATGGGTTTTCTTGTTAAAACATAAGTCTAATGTTAGCTCTACCTTCCAAGCATTCTTTCACATGATTAAAAATCAATTTGCGGTAGAACTTAAGAGGGTACGATCCAATAATGTTAGGGATTATTTCAATCAAACCTTGTCACCATTCTTTCAAGAGAGAGGAATAATTCATGAGTCTTCATGTGTTAATACACCACAGCAAAACGGGGTGGCAGAAAGGAAAATTGGTCATCTTCTAGCAATTACTCGTGCCTTTATATTGCAAACTAATGTTCCAAAACATTACTGGGGGGAAGCTGTTTTAACTGTTGCTCATCTTATAAATAGATTACCCCCTTGAGTCCTTGATCAGAAAACTCCTATGCAACTTTTTTCAACATTCTTCCCAGATTTTCGAACCACAAACAACCTACCACCTAAAGTTTTTGGTTGTGTCCCCTTTGTTCATATTCATTCTCATCAAGGGGTAAACTTGATCCTAGAGCTCTTAAGCGTCTCTTTGTTGGGTATTCTTCTACCCAAAAAGGATATAAATGTTACCATCCTCCCACAAAAGGTTTTTTTTGTCTCCGCTGATGTTACATTTGCTAAACGTGAAATCTATTTTTCTAAACCTATCTTCAGGGGGAGACATCATTCATAAAAAATAAAGATAGAGATTTGTTCTTACTTGATCTTTCATTCTCCCCATCCCCATCTGTGTCAAATGAGTCTTCTAATCAAACAGACCCAGCCACTCCAAGTCCTATAGGAAAGGATAAATACATTCAAAGTACTACTCACCCACTGCAAGTCTATTCAAGGAGGAGAGAAACCATTATTCAACCTATGCAGGACCTTCAATCAGAACCAAACCCTGGCACTAATGATAGTACTGATGATGTTGAGGAAATGTCTGATGGTGAAGATAGAAATGATTATGATCTTCCTATTGCTATTAGGAAAGGTGTGAGAAAGTGTACCCAACGTCCACTATACCCATTATCCCACTTTATGTCTTATGAGAGGGTATCTAACAGCCATAAAAGCTTCCTTATTCACCCAAACACTATAACCATCCCAAAAACTGTTTCTAAAGCATTAGGTCAAAGAATGGATGGAAGCTATGAAAGTTGAGATAGATGCCCTTAAAAAAAAATAAAACTTGGGATTGGTTGAGTTACCTAAGAAAAAGCAAACAGTGAGATGTAGATGGGTCTTTACTATAAAGCATAAGGCAGACGGGTCATTTGAAAGGTACACGGCTAGGTTGGTGGCTAAAGGGTATAACCAAACCTATGGAATAGACTATCTTGAAACCTTTGCCCCGGTTGTCAAAATGAACACTGTGAGGATCTTGTTATCTCTAGCTGCCAATCGTGATGTCAAGAATGCCTTCTTACATGGCGATCTTGATGAGGAAATCTACACGGAAGTCCCTCCAGGTTTTGAGTCAAAAGGTAATAAGGTGTGTAAATTGAAGAAGACCCTCTATGGGTTAAAACAATCCCCTAACGCTTGGTTTGGTAGATTTACCGGAGTTATGAAAGCTTTGAGATATAAGCAAAGTCAAGGTGATCACGTACTATTTGTTAAACATTCGGCTACAAGTCACTGCTTCGTTGGTTTATGTAGATGATATTATCGTAACAGGAGATGATGTTAAAATCCACCTCACCTCACCTACTTCACCCAACGCTTGGTTTGGTAGATTTACCGGAGTTATGAAAGCTTTGAGATATAAGCAAAGTCAAGGTGATCACGTACTATTTGTTAAACATTCGGCTACAAGTCACTGCTTCGTTGGTTTATGTAGATGATATTATCGTAACAGGAGATGACTTGGAAGGAAGAGAAGCTTTGAAAAGAAGCCTAGTTCAAGAGTTTGAAATAAGTCTTGAACTAGGCAGATTGAAATACTTTCTTGGCATTGAGGTTGTTCACTCTCAACATGGGATTTTTATATCCCAACAACGGTATGTAGTGGATTTGTTAGCTGACACAGCGAAGCTTGGGTGTAAACCAGTGGAAACTCCTATCGAACAAAATCACAAGCTTTGTGAAGTTGTTGAAGGCGCAGTGGTAAATAGAAAGTCCTATCAAAGATTGGTTGGTAGATTGATTTACCTCTCACTCACCAGACCAGACATAGCCTATGCAACGGGAGTGGTAAGTCAGTTCATGCATAATCCCAAAGAGATCCATCTCCAGGCAGTACATCAGATTTTACAATATCTCAAGGGAGCTTTAGGAAGAGGGATATTGTTCAAGAAAGGAGGAAAGTTAACACCAGAAGCCTATACAGATGCAGACTATGCAGGATCTATTGATGACAGAAGATCAACATCGGGCTATTGTACTTCCCGTTGAGGAAACCTTATAACACGGAGAAGCAAGAAGTATAATGTGGTTGCTAGATCAAGTGTGGAAGCTGAATTCAGGGCAATGGCATTAGGAGTTTGTGAACTTCTGTGGTAGAAAATAATTTGAGAAGATCTGAAAGTTGCGTGGAAAGGACCTATGAAGCTTTATTGTGATAACAAGCCAGCAATCAACATTGCACATAATCCTGTGCAAAGTGATCGAACCAAACACATTAAAGTTGACAAGCACTTCATAAAAGAAAAGCTGGGCAGTCGACTAATCTGCACACCTTTTGTACCTTCAGGTGGTCAAGTGGCTGACGTGCTAACTAAAGGGTTAAATGGTTCAGTCTTTCGGACTATTGTTGGCAAGCTAGGAATGGATAATATCCACTCACCAGCTTGAGGGGGAGTGTCAAAGATAACCAGGTTGGATCTGTGTGTAAACTGGCCCAGCTGTGAATATTTGAATTTGTATTTAGATTAGTCATATCCTTGATTTATAGGGATTGTATTCTACGAATCTCATTCTTGATTTGTAGGGATTAGCTAGCTATAGTTTGTATATATAGTCTTTCCATGTATATTTCTAAGTAATGAATATTATTCCAATTGTTTATCATGAGTTTTGTTGTTTGTCTTTTTTATGAGCTATTAATTATTTAAATCTAAGCAAAAAATTAATAAACATTCAACATTCAACACTCATAAAAAATACTTAAGGATACGCGGACTCACCAAAAAAATATCAAATTTTAAATCAAGTATGTGAGACAGAATGGTGCTATATGTAACTTATAATGTCAAAAAGATATTTATAACAATTATACAACAATATGTACATATAATAGTAGTGCTAAATACAATTATATAAGAAGTGTCCGATGAAAAGTATCCGATACGTATCTTATACCCTTGTCCGAGTGTTGGGTGTCCGATACGAGTATTTGATTTATTTTGAAGAGTCCGTGTAACATAAGGGGGAACTAGTTGGTGTGTCCATATCGTTGTTACACGGTCTTAGGTAGAACTCAACTCACTCCAAAAAGGCAGATATTAAGGTGAGAGTGCTCTCACATTTATATGCTTAATATTGCTTTAGTATTCAGGCAATGTGGGACTTCACTTCACACCCTCCCTCACGCCCAGCATCCTTACTCGGCAGCACCTACGGCGTGCAAACTAGGGGCACGCACCGTACCCATCCCTGAGTACTCCGACTTTAGTACCATGTTACACGGTCTTGTGTAGAACTCATCCCAAAAAACTATCTATTAAGGGTAAGGTGCCCTCATGCTTATATGCTTAATAAATATTACTTTAGTACTTAGACGATGTGGGACTTCGCTTCACAGTCGTGTCCCTTAAAAACAAATTAATTCAATAAAGGTGTGTCCCACATGTCCGACACCACTACGACAACTATTTTGCAGGTCAGTGCTTCATAGATACAATCATATTCAAATTTGAAAATAAAAGAGAGAGAGAGAGAGAGAGTCAAATCTATAGGGGCCACTGATTCAGTGGTTAAAACTCGGCCTACTAACCTTGTGGTTGTGGGTTTAAACCTGAGGGCAACCACTTCGTACAAATTGTGCCAAAGGTTAGGGTTGTACCCAATCTACCTCCTCCTGGAGCCCCCATCAAATAGAGGACTAAACTGTGTAGTTTTTTTTAGTGAACGTCAAATCTATTTATTTAAGTTCAAAACAAATATGATTCTAGAACTAACCAGCATTAATAACTCGACACAATTTGTAGTGCAATAAAAAAAAAAAACATATTTTGACAAATTTTACCGTATACAAATCTTCAAGATGATATAAAAGATGCAAACTAACTTCAAGAATGACAACTCTTGATTTCCATAAAGCATATCCAGGTTACAACAAGAATCTAACCCCAATTGCATGAAAGGATTTTTCTACTACAATTATAATAACAATAACACGTGCAGCAGTAACAATAATAATAATTAGCTAACCAACTATGAATCTCTTTGTTTATCAGCACTCAAAGCTTGAGTACAAGTTTTGCACTGAAATCATCAATTTTTGTTGATAAATTTGATAAACTGAATCTAATTCCAAAATTTGTTCTTGAAGGATTTAAAGGGGAAGAAGGAATAATGGAATTTGATTTAAAAAGGAGATTTTTTATTTACATCCTGGTATATGAGCTATCAGGCTGTTGTGAGTACTACAGATGTGAGATTGCTGGCCTGACAAATCCTTGCCTGTGGCACTTGCGATAAGACTCATATTACATTGTGGCTGTGTATACAAGGCAATAACCACAATTTATAGCCAGGTACAAGTATAAACATAGGCATAACACCTAGCAAGTGCTATCCGCCTCAACGTTGTGGAGTAGGTTTGAGTCACCGAAACAGCCTCTCCACAAAAGTAGGGGAAAGGCTGCTTACCTACTACTCTTTCCAGACCTTGTTGTAAACAGAAGCGCTATGTGCTAGGTACAGTACAACCTTTTAAAACACCTATCAAGTAATATATATGTTCCTAATCAAGAAGTACCAAACACAACTAAAAGCATGATCAAGAGAAAACCTATTTCCATCATACAAGAATGGCTGGATAAGAGACGAATTTTAGAAGTAATAGAAAACCATGTAAAATAGTGAGACTGTCAACCTGAACAATTTGAGGATACCAATCGCGAAGTTTATCAAATGCATCTTCAATTTTGCCATTCCTGATTAGCTTCATGGGCAGAAAAAAATACATCAGTCAAATTCGTGTCTATTGTCACAGCCAAAAAAAAAAAAAAATGAAGTGCCAGAATTTCAATTTTGTTATGAACAAAAATTGAAGAATGAAATATTCCAGAGCTGCAATGGTGGTTTCAAATTCATCAATAATACGACATTGCAAAATATCTGTTTTAGCAAAGCTTCACAAGGTTCATCAATAATACGACATTGCAAAATATCTGTTTTAGCAAAGCTTCACAAGGAATTCGCCGTAAAGAAATTTAGACCCAAAATGTCAATCATTAATTTTATGATGAAACAGCAGTCCGTATGCAATATTAAGCTTGCCATATCTTTAGAACAGGACAAATATAAAGAAAGCATTTTTTGTTGTCATTATTAAAGAAGAAAGCTTGTCCCTGAAACCTACTTCAGCCATGTAAAACAAGCAGCTCCTAGCCAATCTATGCCAAAGACAAACCACTTCTGATCACCTCAATATTTATTTCTCAGCCAAACTCATCAAAACAAAAGTCCTTAATGAGTAGGATTTCACTCTTTGCTTGTTAACCTTTCCTGTATTGCCTATTGGAACTACACCTGCATTCTCGCTTATATCCTCATAGTTATATATGACTTAGCCTCCATTTTAGGAGTGAGTCAGTTTCGATGCTGTTATTGTGCAAATCAGCATTGCTTTACGGTTGTCCAGCTGTCAAATAATACTGAATCTTTTCAAAAGGGCTTTCAAACAACCAGAAAGATATATAAATGAGAAGTATAACTTCAGAAATGGTGACACATATATAGATGAGGAGTATAACTTCAGAAATGGTAATAGAATATACATGTTTAGAATGACAAAGAAAGCAAACAATCATACAATTGTAAAACAGCATTAATAATTTTCATTTTCAAATAAGAAGGCTCAGAAATTTGTGTGAAACAAAATAATACAGGCTCCTCAAAGGGGGGAGGATGACAAAAATAAGACCACTTTTGCATGTTAAAATCATCTAAAAGCCACTGATCTGTTTACACCCTTGTATACCATTTTTCCAGCTCTCCAAAATAAATACATTCAACCTCTGGCAATTCGTACCTGTCGAAGAGCCTTTCTTTGGTTTAATGCATACATGTTGTCTTGCTCATTGACCATTTTCTTGAGCTAACGGGATGGGAGGAAGAGAACTCTTGCTCGCTATGTCAAATAATTTGAGTGTATCCTCATACCCATAGTGCAGTAAATAGGAGCGAACTAATCTGGTAACAATAAGTATTAAATTAGTGCCAGGACCAAGGTAAAAGTTTGCCCTAAAATAGATTAAAGATTTATGGTAAGATTCTAACATAGTTAATGAATAAACAAAATATGAGCTCTGTAGTCTGTAATACCTAGGTACCATTGCTTCTGCATATTCGTGTCTAACATTTCCCTCAACTGTGGTGGATATTTTATGCTACTTGCATGCAAGATGTTATATAGGTGCCTCAGTTTGATTATATGCTACTCTTTAATGAGTTGTGCCTCTAATTTTATCCACTTATTTTTAATCGTCAAGAAAGAAAATTCATTAAACATTAAAAAGCTCAAATACTAAGGAGGACAAGGGAAAAAAAAAAAAAAAAAAAAAGATCCTCACACTCTACGAATAGCATTTAAATCCCCAAAAATTAAAAAAAGAGGAATCCCTTTGAAGGAGGGAGCCACCGAACCCCAAAAGGAAGCTAAAGAACACAACTTCTCCCATATGCTCTCCAAATCTTCTATTTTCTCCTCAAAAACTCTACATTCCATTCAAGCCATAAAACCAAGAAGACTGTGCAAACCACACATCTCCATAGAACCTGAGTCCTTCCGTCTAATCCGAATGCTCTAAAATCAATACAACACAAGCTCACAAGAGGGCATAATAATCCCATCGATCTCCGCCAAATAAAAAACTCCCCATCATAACAATAATGCAAGACTAGATGATCCACACTTTCCTCAGCCCCCCTACACATAGCACACCATTGTGGAAACACAAGTCAATTTGGTCTTCTCTTTTAAACCATTTTGTTAGTGTTAAGTTCAAGTGAGCCAAAGTCCATGCAAACACTTTTAATTTAAGGGCCATGCAAGCATCCCAAATCATCTTGTGAGTAAGAAAGATGAGGATAATTAAATTATCGATGAGATAATAATAATAATAATAATAATAATAATAATAATAATAAAGATTTATAAGTAAATAGCCCAGGTGGATGGAGATTCCACACTCTTACATCAACTAGAAGACAATGAAACATCTCAAGGATTACATTCATTGGTCTCATGATCATTAAGGTTTCTAAAGAATTTAAAGTCCCAAGAGATAGGGAATGAATGGGATGAGACCATCAAAGAAATTGAGACATTGTGGGTTGTGGCTAACTGATACAATCACGGAAACAAAAGAGAAAATGGAGTATCCCCCATCCAAGCATATCCTCCAAAAAGCGAGTAAGCTCCCCATTACTTACAACAAGATGATTGAATTGAGAGAAGCACTGAAGGCCATTAGAGATGAATTTCCATGAAGAAGGGCAAGTCCCCCTCTCCACCACTGCAGAATCCCATCCATTAGCCTGATTCCCATACTTACTTTTAATCACAGCATGCCAGGAAGATTCAACACTCCCTCAAAATTTCAAAAACCTTCATAACCACTTATCAAGAAAAGAAATATTTTATTGACAATGTGGCCCAAACTAAGGCTCCCTTTGCACTTCGAGAGGGAAACAACAACCCAACTAATCAAATGATCCTTTGAGTAAGCCTGTGACACATGATCGACTGCCCCCTTTGTCAAGATGCAATCGGTGAAGATATTGATGCTTGGTGGAGAGATTGACTTCCCCCCATTTTGGCAATTTTGTGGACTTGAAATCCCTCTTTGAATAACAATTGTTAACACAGGCTGAGAACAGTGGACAAGCGCCACCCTCCCTTAACCTTGAGTGCCAACTAACTCGAAGAAGGGTGATGATCTGTCGATGCCAATAGTGAAGCTGGACATATGTACGACATACTTTAAGTGACACATTTGCTTCCAAATCGACTTATGAGGAACAAAGATTAGAACATCCGGAAACTTTTGTGAATTAATTCTGTGAGTGTATAATTACTCTTCTTTTAAATGATTTGAGGTGGACAAGGCTTAAGTTCAAAAGATCAAGCTTTTTGTGCAAAATGAACACTGAAGTTTTGTGCATGTCTGTGTAGTAAAGACTTACATACTGTATGATGAAGCAGGATGTATCTTGTTTTAAATGACGTAGGGACTTGTACAAGTCTTTGGTTTAATCAATGGTTCACTTGATCAGTTCTCAGGAGTAAAGTCAATCAATTTCAGTCCATGGTTAAAAAGTGATTGCTTCACTCAAAACTGACTACTCTTCAATCTTCTCCAAAGCAGCTGCTTTTATAAGTGAACAAGTAGTTACTGTCAGAATAATATCTTCGGTTATTGTGTATTGCTTATTCTATTAGTTGTTATTTCCTTATTCCGTTATTTCCATATTTGTGCCTCCAATGCTTCCATTGTAAGCAACCTATTATCTATGAAACACAGGTGCGGGTGTGGGTGAGGGTGAGGGTGAGGGTGTGATATGGGTACACAGTTCTCAGGAGTAAAGTCAATCAATTTCAGTCCATGGTTAAAAAGTGATTGCTTCACTCAAAACTGACTACTCTTCAATCTTCTCCAAAGCAGCTGCTTTTATAAGTGAACAAGTAGTTACTGTCAGAATAATATCTTCGGTTATTGTGTATTGCTTATTCTATTAGTTGTTATTTCCTTATTCCGTTATTTCCGTATTTGTGCCTCCAATGCTTCCATTGTAAGCAACCTATTATCTATGAAGCACAGGTGCGGGTGTGGGTGAGGGTGAGGGTGTGATATGGGTACGCCAATACGGCAAATTCTTTAAAAAAGTAGGGTATGGGTACGGACACGGCTGGGATATGTCAATTTTTATTTTTAATTTTTTTTAAAATTTATAGCTAAACATTCAACATACATATCAAAATTTCAATATCAAAACTAAAAAAAAAAAACAGCTTGTCTAAAAAGTTAAATAATTCTTTCTTTTTCTTTTTTGATTGTCTAAAACAAGATGCAAAAGAGAGCAAAACCATGACTCATGGGTAAAAGGTGTTGGAAATAAATTACTTGATGATTCTTGAAATTGAAAGAAGAATAATAAAGGCTGCAACAAATTCTAGCAGCTGCAAAAAAAAAGAAAAAAAATTCACCTCACCTTATCCATGCTGTACCCACGACGTACCCAAATGTATTTGCCGTACCCGACATGTATTCAGTGTACCCGGTACATGTACCGCCGTATCGGTACGCATACCCGCACCCAGTAAGTACCCAGTACTCATACGACACCATTTTTGGAGTACCCGTGCTTCATAGCCTATTATCAATACAAAAGGGGATGATTGTCTAATCATTCCCTAAGTTTTGTTCTCTCTTAACAAACACGATATCAGAGCCAAGTTCATCCTAAACCATCACCCAATGCCACCACATCATCACCCATAACCACCCATACCTAAAAACTCCCATTTCGGCCCTCTCCCAGGCCTGTCAGCCTTCCTACCAGCTTTTCAAGGCTTACCAACAGCCCTTTAGGCTCTGTCGGCTATCTGCAGCATTTAGGGCACTCTGAGCCCTTCACCATCACTATTGGCAAGTTCTCTAAGCCCCTAGGCCTCTGTTGCAGCCTTTCTCCTCAGCTACCACGGCTGAAATACACCCTCATATGATCAAAGAATCTTGTTTTGCCCCTAACTTTTTCCTGATCTGTTTTTGGGTGATTTGGGACATTTATTATGCCGTTTTGATTGACCCGTAAGCCTTTTTTTTTAATTTATTGGGCCAATATATGGTCCTCTTGCTATTTTTTTGACTTATTCGGAGTCGTGTCTTTGGTATGGATGTTTTGCCCTCTCTTCAGGAGGCCTTTGCTTATGTACAG